TCTGCGCGCCGTCCACCGCCCACCGTGCTCGACGAAGCCCGTCGCGCCCGCCACCACTAACCGGACTTCTCAGCCTGATCTCGCGAGTAGGGGGTCGCCGGGGCGCGCGCAGGTTCCGCCCGTCCGGGCGCGCGCCCTGCCGCCGGCCGGCAAAATCTGTGGGTCTGACAGAATTGGCAGCGGCAGCGTCAGCCGGGCTTGCTCCGCGAAAGCCGCCATCCGCGGATCTTGAGGCAACGCCCCCGTGAGGGAGGTCTCTGGCGGCATCCTCGTCGCGGCGCCCGCTCGCGAGTCCCAGGGCGGCGGCCCGGGTCGGCTCCCAGCGCGGGCACTGCAGCCGCAAAGGGTGCTCCAGATCCTCCGTCGCCGCGCGGCAGTGGGGGCACAGCGCCGGCTGGCCCCACTTCGCGGCCATCGTCTCGGTCACCACGTTTCCAGAGATCACGGCGCGGAGCGCCCTGGCCGGGCCGCATCGGGCGCGAGCGCGCCGCTGCCCAGCAGCCGTCGCGTGGCTCATCTGTCAATGCCAGCCGCGACGTGCTGGAAGGCCGCGCGCCTCTTTGCCAGCGAGCGCGCTTCGCGCGTGGACCGCGCTTCGGGCAGCACCGCTCGGGTGTCGAGCAGACCCCGGTCGGCGGGGCGCCAGCGCGTGGGGGCGGCGCTCGCCCCGGTCCAGCACTCGACGCCCGCGCCCACGCGCATCGCCTCCAAGCTCCAGAGGGCGGCGGAGATTGGCCCGAACCCGCGCCCGTGGCCTGCGCCGAGGGCCGCCGCGGCGCCCCGCCGCGCCTGCACGGGGAGACGGCGGGATCGGAGCGCATTGGCGGCCTGCCAGAGCGGCGCCCGGTCAGCGACCGCCGCCGGGTCAAGCCGCCAGTTCGGCGCCAGTGCCCCGAGGACCTCGGCGGCCGCCCGCGTGCCACCGCGGCGCGCCGCTTGCCGCGCCGCCGCGCGGAGACCGGCCAACTCTCGCGTCGGGGGCCGGCCGCGTGCCGCGCCGCGCAGGCCTGCTTCTCCCGCGGCAGCGCCCAGCCTGCGCCGCGCGTCGAAGCCGACCGGCAGCTTGTCCAGCCTGCGGCGGCCTCGCGCGACGCGTAACCGGAGCCGGCGCCGGAACGTCGCGCGAGTAGCAAAATGGCGCGACCTCGTCCGTTGTAGCCTCCGTGACCTGCAGCGCCTGCAAGGGCTCGTCTGCTGGGCCGCCGCCGGCCTCGGCCGCGACCCGGGCCCAGAGCGCGGAGTTGTCGACCTGCGCGCCGCGGCGGGGGCGGTCGCTGACGCGGCCCGCGCGCGCCATCCACGGCCGCGCCAGGACTCCGAGCGCGAACGCCGCCAGGGGGCAGCCTGGGAGAAGGCCGCGCTTGGGCGGCCGTGGCGAGCCGATGGCCCTGCCGACTCGCACCTGGCGTTTCGCCGAGGCGGGGCCCCTGCCCAAGCGAGCGCGACTGGCGCCGCATTCGGTCCCGCCTGGTCGCGCGCTTTGCGCCAATCCAGAGCAGTGCCCACCATATTTTTGGAAGGGGCGTCGGCCGCCTCCAGCTCCGGGGCGAGCTCCCGCGCGAGGCCCTCCGCGCCGCGCCGTCGCTCGTCAACCCCCGCCGGCGCTGCCGCCAGGCAAGGGGGCGCGCTCGGCCAACGGCCCGCAGCCTGCATGGGACGGGCAACAACCGGATGGACCAGCGCTCCAGGGGGCCTCCGTCGCCACCCGGCCCAGGCAGCAGGAGGCCCTCGGGCTCGACGAGCTTCTCGGGCCGCGCGCCCTGAGCCTCCACCTCTTCAAGGAGGTCAGCGATCCACGAGTCCAGCCTTGCCAGCGCTAACTGGAGCTCCGTGACCGACCGTGCGTCGAGCCCCGGCTCCTCGCGCTTGCCTGGAGGAATTGGTTTGTTATAATTATTCATCAATAATTATACGTAGGTAAAACTATGATATGAGTTGGTTATAATTAGGTTTTAATGTGTGACAAATAGTTGCCGCATTTATAGTTTGCTAATTCTGGCCCTGAGTTACCCCGAGTTATAAAAGTTATAACTCCGCTAACTTTTCAACGCGGTTCCCACCATATCACCATGCTTACATATTTGTGCAGGGTGTACTTTTCAAAAAAAATGAGTTTTATCATCTTGGTTGCAGGTGCTGCACTCATCATTGCGACTTCTCGCATATCGTACCCACGCCGATCACAAGTGCAATCGATGCGGATACCCAGGGAGAGGTGCGACGCTTAAGTTGCATGTTGTTTTTTTGGGCATGGCACGTTGGTTCCGTTGCCATATGGGCTCCCGGGCATGTCGCGCGCATCTTACTGCGCTCACGATTTGCAAGTGGTGCCTTGCATTCATCTCAGACATGCAGTCGCAGTCGCATGGGGCGGCAGCTAAGGCTGTCAAACGCAAGGAGGCGATGGACATGATTGAGAGGAAGTTCGGATCTGATGAAGCAGAGGCGGTGGATCTGGCTGCGCAGTGCAAGGCGATAGCGCGCCAACGTGGTATGCTAGTGACCGAGAAAATCAACAGCAAGTATATGTGCGTGAGCCCAGAAAACAGATGGCGACGGCGTCGTGCCGTCTGACGTCGCTGACCTTATCATTAAGATCTTGAGAACTGGGTTCAGGCACGAGCATCTGCTGATGCCTACGTGCGCCGAGATGCCTCCATTGGGCACTGCGAAGTACCGCGGGATCAAAGATTTTAGCGACAAGATAATGACCGATCGCGCAGGACAGATGCCGTCGTACGGTGATGTTGATGGTAAATATCAGAGTTGCACATGCGGCCATACATCGCAAGGTTTGCGATGCATCATACATGGCACGCCTGCGCCCGAGAGTCAGCCAGAGCGGTTCGGCGACATAAGCCAGGGCAGGAAGATATCATTGCAGCGCCTCCAGCAATTCCAACCAGCATTTGCTGACGCGGCTCTCAACGGCATCACGTGGGACATCTTCAAGTGGCAGTTTGTCGAGGCGTTTCCGTTCGTTCCAGACCTTCTGCAAGAAGCGGGCAACGCAGGGTAGGCCGCCGCCAAGTGCGAGAGCAGGCTGGAAGTCATGCTCAAGATTGCGCAGTCCGCGCCGCCGGCCCGCCGGCAACTGCTGGGCCCGCGGGCCCGGGTGCCAGCGACGCGGCCTGGAGCAGTTGCGCGGGGCCAATTTACTCGGCGGCGGCGGCGGCGACGGCCGCGAATGCGCCATCGAGCCTCGCGACGCCGGCGACGGCGGCCGGGCGCGCCGCCGCGCCTTCAGCTGCCGCCTTCGCCTGCGCCGCGGCCCGCGCCTGCTCCGCGCCCTGCGCCTCGGCGATGGCCTGCGGCGCGGGCGCCCGCCGCCTCGGCGGCTTGCCGGGCCTCCTCGGCCGCGGCACGAGTCGCCGCCGCGCGGCTACCCGGGCGCGCCGCGCCGCTGCAGCGCGGCTCCGCCGCGAGTCCATGGCGAAGCAGGCGGCGCTCGAGAGGGCGGGCGGCGCGCGCCGCTTCCTGCACCTCGGTCGCCGCGGCGTCGCGCCGCCCCGTCTCCTGCGCCCGTTCGGGAGAGGGGTGGAAGGCGGCGATGCGAGCCTTGATGCCCGCGAGGTCCTCCCTGGCGGCGGCGGCCGCTGGCTGCGGCGGAAGGGCGTCGGCCGAGGCTGCCCGCGGCGCTAGGGGCTGCGGCGGCCGCCCTGCCGCCGCGGGCGCCGGCCGCAGGGGCTCCGCCCAAGGCGCCCGCGTCGGCGGGCCCGCTGGCGCCCCGCCCGCGCGCGCCCGCGCCGAAGGCGGCGCCTGCGCGCCGCGCTAGCGGCAGGTGGTCCGCCGGCCGAAATTATCGGCCGCCCCGCGTGCGCAGCTCTGCAGGAATCCAGGCCGGCATGCGAGCCCCCCCGGGCTCGCCGGCCGCGCCGCTGGGCCGGCTGCCGCGCCTGCGACCGCGAGCGCCGCCCCGCTCCAGCAGGCCGAGTCGCCTGCTTGCCTGCTTCCGTCAGCAGCTTCAGCCGCCACTGGAAGGCGCCCCATGGCAGCCGGGCCCGACCCCCGCGCGCCCGCCGCCGCGGCAGCCCGGCGCCCAGCAGCGGCCGCGCGCGCGGATGGCCCAGCTCGCGGGGCCCGCGCGGCCCGCCCAGCTTCACAGCCCCAGCGTCGCGCTCAAGCCAAAATGGCTCGAGCCAGAAGTGCCGCGGACCCGCGCACGGGCGCGCCCGCGCGCCCGTGCGCCCGCGCGCCCGCGCGCCCGCGCCCGCCCGCGCGCCCGCGCCCCCCCGCCCCCGCGCACCCCCGCGCCCGCGCGCCCGCGCGCCCGCGCCCCCGCGCCCGCGCGCCCGCGCACCCACTCACCCGCACGCACGCACACCCGCGCATCCGCACTCCCGCGCGCGCGCACGCGCACACGCACGCACATGCACGCGCACGCGCGCACGCGCGCGCACACGCACGCGCACCAGAACACGCGCACGCATTCGCACACGCACGCGCACAGTAACACCGACGCTCTAACGCACGAGCGCGCGCACACGCAAACGCGCACAACGCACAGATACAACGCGCGCGCGCACGCACGCGCGCGCGCATGCACGCGCGCGCGCACGCGCCCGCGCGCACGAAAACGCACGCACACGCACACGCACACGCACGCGCACACGCACGCGCACACACACACACACATACACACACACGCACACGCACACGCACACGCACACACGCACACGCACACGCACGCGCACGCGCACACGCACGCGCACACGCGCGCACACACACGCGCGCACACACAAACACGCGCACGCGCACACACACACGCACACGCACACGCACACGCGCTCGGATGCACACGCACACGCACACGCACAAACACAAACGCACACATGCACACGCGCGCACGCACACGCAGACGCACGCGCGCTTACACACGCACACACACACACACGCACGCGCACACGCGCGCACACACGCACACGCACGCACGCACGTGCACGCGCACACGCACACGGACATACACGCACACGCACGCGCAAACCACGCACACAGACGCG